CTTTTGTTCAGGGCTTTATTTAATCTTTGCCTTTTACTGTCTGTCTGTCTGTCTGTCTGTCTGTCTGTCTGTCTGTCTGTCTGTCTGTCTGTCTGTCTGTAGGGTATGGGTACCCTTCGGGACCTGCAGTTTGCCCTGCAGCTAAAGATTGAGGAGCTCCGTCAGCGAGACACGCTTATAGATGAGTTGGAACTCGAGTTAGACACCAAGGACGAACTCATCCGCAGACTGCAGGAAGAACTGGACCGGTACCGATCCGCCCTGTCCCTCCCAGGACCCTCCACGGTCTCTGCAGGTACATAGAGCAAAAAGGCTTCCATGTTCTGTTTTAAAAGTGGCAACAAGTTCCACAGGCTTTCAAACCTGACCCAGAATCCTGACTCCCTTTAAAAAAAAAGATTATTATTGTTTGTATTTTTTTCCGTAGCTGCTGCGGCTCAAATTGAGGAGAGGCAGCGAGTTAAAAAGCAGACAGTGTTTTCGGAGCTCTTCACTTCAGACCCTGTGACTCTCACAACGGCTTCGCACCGAAGCTGTGACAAAAGCCAGGAGTAAGAGCACACACTGTTCCCGCAGTTCACACCAGCTCCGAGTGAAAGATCTGACTCTCAACTGTTTAAAGCTCACCAACTGCTCACCAACACAGATCACTTTCAAACATCACCACAGCGAAGCCACGTCTGTGTCATGTCTTCACGTCCTCAGATCCCGAAGGCTGATCCAGGCGGCGTTTCGGAAAAACGACTTGCTGAGGAACCTTGCGGAAGGAGAAATCCGAGCCATCACGGCCTGCATGTATCGCACCAGCGTCAGTCAAGGCTGCGTCGTCATTCAGGAAGGGGCCACTGGGGATCAGGCGTTTGTTTTAGAAGGCAAGTCATTATCCCCGTCTAATTGCAAACATTCATCCTACTCCAGGATGTTTACTTGGAGTTAATTGGGGTCCTGTGGTACATGTTATATTTACATTGTCATGTTGGCTCAGTTTTTGATAGGATGAAATGTGGCGGAGCTGCGAAAGCACGGTTAGTGACACAGGTGCAAGTCTGAAAAGCAGGAAGTGAGCCACACTGAGTCAAAATGCTAACATGAATGTGAAGAGGCTCGAGAAAAAAAAAGACTGTTGAGAGTTCACAGGAAAGTGACAGCTAACAGAGCGTAGCTGCTCCCAGTTTTTACTCGACTCGGATCGCACCATGTGTCGTTTGGACATCTCGCACCGAGCACAGTTTCTAACAGTCACTCAGTATTCACCACAGAATACGTACATCCTCCGTCTCTTTTCTTTTGTTCATCGAGTGCAGTGTTTTATTACAGAAGGAAGGCTGGATGTCACAAAAGACGAACAGAAGCTGCTCACTCTGGAGCCAGAGGACGTGTTCGGAGAGCTGGCACTCCTCTACAACTGCACCCACACCTGTTCAGTGTCCGGTAAGTTCTGCGTCTTTCTTCTGATTTATGTTTTTCTTAGAGGGTTTGAACAATTCTTATTTGGAACAGAATATAATGAATTATTGTTGCAGAAAACATCAGACGCCTCACTGTGGTCTTAGAGGACTTCTGCTGAATTTAAAATCAAAGAGCATTTTGAGAACTCGGGCAGTACGGTTCAAGAGGTTTTCTCTGAGATGTGGGGAATTTAAATCAGGCTTGTCCCATCTTTCTCTCTGCGTTAGCTGGAATTTCCACAACAAAATGCTTTCTTGAACCGCCTGAATCCACTGACCTCTCGCAATGTCACACCCACAGTACCAAAATAAATATAAAAAACCCTCTTTTAAACACACACGTAAGGTGGCATCTGATCAGAGTGCCGGAGTCCTGTGGGAAAACTTCCTGAGCCATCACCACAGGCGTCTGGCCTGGTTTCACAAATAAAAACATCAGCTGCAGAGAAACAGGCCGTAGAAGAGGCCAGGATGAGTTTAAATAGAAACATCTATTTATTTGAGCATCTAATTCTCTTTCTTCATCTCGCAAACAGCAATCCATTCTAGTTTACTGCCCTCGGCTATCTCTCTGCTAACAATACACCTCCTGTTTTTTTTTAATTATTATTCCATTCTCATTACTGTCAGCCCGGCCCTTTGAATCTGCTCATAGCCCACTGTACTTATCTCCTTCCTCCTGACCTCATAGTGCTTTCCTTTTTGCATTTGAGGCCATCAGTGAGGCGTTTGTTGGTGAGGTCTCTTTCATTTTGATACGGGAGCAGGTGGCTTCTAAAAGGTATCATCATCTGTTGAGGCTGAGCATGAAAAAAAGATGAGAAAATGTCAGAAGACTGTGCTTGCAGAAAAATTGAAAATGGAAACTCAATAAAGGGATCTGAAACAAATAGTGCTTAAAGGGGGTTATTAGGAAAAATCAACTTTTTGAGCTTTATGTCATGTTATAATGTCATTCCCTCGTCAAAAACATACCCAGTGTTGCGTTGACTCATTCATGCATGTTTGACGAATCCTTGAATCTCCTTTAATCGCCATGTGGAGCTGCCTAAACACTTGCTGGTGCAAAGCACCGCCTATTTACTCAAAGCTCCTCCCCGGTGCTCAGTCTGCGGCCGAGCTCTTGACCTACAGAGTACCCATCCCAAAGCAGCTCCACCACTGGTGAGCGGCAGCAACAGTTAGAAAACACCTGGTAGAACTGCACGTCTGTTGAGCTTGTAAGATTAACTTGTAGCATACCTGCATTTTTGTGAAGACGTGCTGAAGTGGGAGTGTTGGAAATGGTAGGTGGTGGTTCTTAAAGAGACAGGTGAATTTCAAGGTGTGTACATACAAAGTCGGATTTAGTTTTGATCTAGCCATACAGATTTTTCTTAACAACTGAAGGTAACATAGTCACTTGACTGTGGTAAAGAATTGAACCCCCACCCCCACTACACTCTAAAAATGAAATGTTGGATTTACTTAACCATGTTATGTTACCTGGTTCCACTTAACTGAGTTGAGTAAACTCAAAGCAACATACTCATGTTCTTTGGTTAAAAAAAACTGGTATATTGCTTTGAATTTACTCAACTCAGTTAAGTGGAACCAGGTAACATAACATGGTTAAGTAAATCCAACATTTCATTTTTTTACAGTGCCACCAACACACACACACACACACACACACACACACNCACACACACACACACACACACACACACACACACACACACACACACACACACACTGGTGATAAATTAGCACATGGAGTTGAAATCAAACATTTATAATCATGAGCGTGAATGTCATTAAATTTGAGATTTTAATTAATCATTTAAATTGATCTTTCTTCAGGGACAAACACACAATGAGTTTTGAAAACAAGCATATTACACACAGGCTCAAAGATATACATACACCCTTACTGTTATGTGGTTTAATGTACCTTGACCACACCGGTTTTGTAGCCATTATCATTGTTCTGCTTTAATTCAGGCTAAAGAGTTTAGAGTTTATTTGAACTGGATGATTTTCCTTAAATAAGATCCACAAATAGTCATTAGGTTTGAGGTCAAAGTTTTGGGAAGGCCGTTCCAGACATTTTAATCCCTCGTTTTCCATGCAGGAACCAGCTGTGATGTGTGTTTGATATGATTGTGTCATAAGTTTCGGTCAACTACCTGTTGATCTGATTTCATCATTAATGTGTTTTTAAGGTTGAAAGCTTCATCTTGACTCCTCTGAACACATTTTTGTCATTGTGTCCAAAAAGTTCAGTTTTGTGTGACTAAGAAAGTTTTGTCCAGAATTGACGTATCCATTGAGCTTGAAGGTGTTTTGTTTTTGGAGCCGGATCTCCTTTCTCATAATCCTTTCAGTCTTGTAAGATATTTCATTGATTTTTTTATTGAGTCTTAAATGCACATATTTTTATTGAGATGTTTGGAATATTTTTGTAAGCAATGTGCTATCATCTTGTCTGTGTATTTTACTGTGCTTTTAGAAGGTTTTTGAGTTTTCAAGTTGCACCAAACATCAAACACACACTGAATGCTTTCATATCTCAGTGTTGCAGGAGCTGATGTCTGAGTCAAGTCACCCGATGGGAAAGGGAACTTTCTTACTTACTGTAATATCATTTCCGAGGCCGTGACTGGACTCTGATATAAAACTCAGTGTAACACGTAACTCGCGATCATTTTGCTCTGAGTGAGCGGTCCACAGCGCTGTGAGGTTACATGGTAGCTTTGTATGTAGTCTGAGAACTGAATCCATTTTTCCGGCACATAAATCAGACTGTTTCTTTCAGTCTGTACAGATGTGAAACTGGCTTCATGGTGGACATAGACACTGGCTTTTCAGCACTTTACAGTTCATACTAAGACTTACTGTAGTTGTTCTTGAACGATCAATTCAAAAAGTGCTGTCAAACCTATTTTTTTCTGCAGGCAAAGAGAAATTAACAACTGCAGTCGATCGTGATCACCAGAAGTTTAAAGGCCTTGGTCTGGTCAAGTTAAAAGACGTTTGAAAACCTTCAGTTTCCAATTTAATTGAAGGTTTAGGAGAATGCCTGTTTAAATGTAATTTTGACCCTGTGTGGATTAGAGAAAATCCACTCTAAATTTAAACTTTTGTGCCCTGAGGGAGAAGAAAACGATTCAAATAAATCAATAAATCTGACGTTCACGCTCAGAATAGGCGTATGTAAACTTCTGACCACACATCGAATGAGGTGGTTAAGGTGCCGGGACTGTACCATTAAATGTTGGATATAATTAGATCGTCTTGAGGACATCTACTTCCGTTGGCAGGAAGCTTCTGTGCATCAATCAATACTCGTCATTATTAATTTACACCACTTTCCAGCTCTGTACTAAAGAAGGAGGGTATTTATGGCTTTAGAGAGTTAGATTAGATTTATCTTCCATCTCCCCTGTGAGGAGAAGGCAGATTTTCTTTTTAATGCAGTCCTGAACTAAACTGTTTGCTCTTTAGCTGATTCTTCACTTCAGCCATAACCGCCGCAGGCAGAGCTGCTCTTTGATATTCCACATCGAGTTTATGTCTGATCTCTTGTGTCACTGATATAACCTTTATCATTTCTCCTGCCTTTGTCCTTTTTTTAATCTGCAGCTCAAACGGACAGCAGCCTGTGGGTTATTGACCGCAAAATATACCAGACCGTGCTCACACAATGCAGACTCAACCACCTTTCTTATTCAGTGGAGCTGCTGAGAGGGTAAAAATCACATTTGATTTTTACAAATAACGCTATCTTAAATCTCAGGAGATTGTTCTGCTTGTGAGGGATTTTTTTTAAACAATATCTGTCTGAAAATTCTCACGATAGAATGAAAACCTGCTCAGACCTGCCTCCATTTGCATCTGTGTGCAGGCTTCCCTTCCTGCAGTCGTTCTCAGAGGATGCCATCGTGAGAATGTCTGATCACATGAAGGAGGTACAAATGAGCTTCTCTGGATGTGTGTAAGCAGCCCTCATTACTCAAACAGGATCTGGACAATAAACCTTGTGTCCAGACATGCGGTTCCATCCATATATTCAATTTCCAGCTTCTTTCTGAAAATTGAGGGCGCACCAATTGCCTCAGAGGCAGTTATTTTCTTTTTGTTTGCTCAGCTGTCTGTCATTTCTTTTTTTACACCGTAGACTAATTACACAGACGGCGACTTCATCATTCACCAAGGAGCCACAGGCGACACCTTTTATATCATCAGCAAAGGCAAGGTAAAGTTGAGGAAATGAGACTTTCAGAAAAACAAGTTTGGATTCTGAAAACCAAAAGCCAGTGTAGGTTTTAGAAATGCCTTTTTTTTTTGTTGTGTTTATTTTCTCGGTTTGCTCTGCGGGTTTGCAAGGTGACCATGACAGAAAGGAAGCTGGGGCATCAAGAGGAGACGGTCCTAACTGAGCTCTCTGAGAGACAGTGGTTCGGAGAAAAAGCTCTTTGGGGGTAAGAAGAAAACATTATTTCTCGAGAAGTGTCTGCAAAAACCCTGTTTGTTTACATGTCAAAGCTTTGCTGTCATGTCTGTATTATTCTGTCCCCAGAGAAGACACTCAGACTGTGAGTGTGAGGGCTGCTGGAGAAGTGACGTGCCTGGTTATAGACAGAGAGTAAGTTTATCCTTTATTTAGTACTACAGTGCCTATAAAAATATTCGCCCAGTAGAATGTTTAATGCTTTTATTGTGAAAAAAAAACTCGCCTTCTTCAGAGAAAAAAAGCCTCTTCAATGTCAAAGTGAAAATGAAATGGATTCAACAGAACTCCTAGAGATATTTAATAGAGGGAGTACGTCCATTCCATCTACTGCTTGCACCTGTGAGATAATGGAGGAGCAAAGATGGCGCCCAAACAGGGCAACAGCTCACAGCCAACAAAGCATTTTTATTACTGATAACCATCTTCTCTGTAGGTCAGGTTTGTGCAATAGAAACCTAAAGTTTGTCAAAAACAACAATACCAGCTTGTAATATTTAATAATTTGTGCTAAAATGTAGCATGATTCAGCAGAGTACTATAATCCAGTGGTTCCCAAACTTTTTATCTTCTGACCCACAAAGTATCCATGGCAAAAACTTGTGACCCCAAATATTACTGGTCTGAGTACACAAACTTCATTAATAACCCTAAAAACACAGGTTTTTGACAATCTAAACAGCTTGTACACAAATATAAATACTTATTTATACTTATTTAGTGTTTTGGTAATGATTATAGGGAAAATATTACATCAACAATTATTTTATTACCCTTTAAATTGATTTCTGTAGATTATCCAAGGTGCTTCATGACCCATAATTGGGTCCCAAGCCCAACTTTGGKAAYYRAAGTGCAGTGGTTCYCAAACTTTTCAGCTTTTGACCCACAAAATAACAGCAGCAGAGACCTGTGCCCACAACTATTTTTGTATGATAAACATTTGTATCAGGTCAACTAATCATGGGCATAGTAAGAATATTTTTTATACTACATTTATCCATTTTAAATATACTAACCTCACTCCTTTGTAACAACTAAGGCAAAAATGTCATTAATTCATAAAATCTTTTCAGGACCCCACCTTGATGATTCGGGACCCCACTTTGGGTCCCGACCCCAACTTTGGGAAACACTGCTATAATCTGTTTAACAGTATGCTACAGAAGCTAATATCTGCTAAAGCAATTCAATAATTAACAGTGATTAAACTGGCTTTATAAGCTCATTTTAATTTTAAATGGTTACATTATTAGCTTCGTCACATCACATCCATGTTGAGGTAAATAAGATCAGATCTGCTTGCTTGTGAAAAAAGAGATATTTTTCCCCTTTTTTTGCTTTGCTTGGTACATCTGTAACACACAGTTTTATGGCATTTTTATATACATTAGATAGCTTACACTCTAATAGAGTGGCTCCCAAAGTTGGAGTCGAGACTTGGAGTGGGGTCCCGAAACATCAAGTCTGGTCCTGAAAAGATTTTCTGAATTAAAATAACTACTAACAGAATTTTTATAATTATTTTTAAATTTTTTGGCCTTAGTTGTTACAAAAGAGTGAGTGTACTTAAAACTGGATGAATATTAATATAGCACAATGAATATTATTACTATGCCCTTGTTTATTTGACCTGAACTAATATTTATCCACCAAACATAGTTGGGGACACAGGTTTCTGATGCTATTTTGAGGGTCAAAGGCTGAAAATTTTGAGAATCATTGCTCTAACATATATTTTCATTAATAGTTTCACATTTATTACATAACCAGCCCTTATTGTGTGCTGTTTTACCAATATGTAGAGTTAATACTGAATCCAGTCACCATAGCTGCTACAGTAGATCATAACATCACATAACTAAGACTCCAGCTGTCATATAAACCTCCAAGATCTGGATCCATCTCCAGACTTGTACTTTTCAACACTGCTTTCTCTAAGCTGAACTAGAACATCCATCCATCTTCTTCCGCTTATCCGGGTCAGGTCGCGGGGGCAGCAGCCTAAGCAGAGAGAGACCCAGATTTTCCTCTCTCCAGCCACTTGGGCCAGCTCATTCGAGGGAATCCCAAGGCGTTCCCAGGCCAGCCGAGAAACATAGTCCCTCCAGCGTGTCCTGGGTCTTCCTCTGGGCCTCCTCCCAGTGAACACCTCACCAGGGAGGCCTCCGGGAGCCATCCTAACTAGATGCCCGAGCCACCTCAACTGGCTCATCTCGACGTGGAGGAGCAGCGGCTCTACTCTGAGTCCCTCCCTGATGACTGAGCTTCTCACCCTATCTCTAAGGGAGAGCCCAGACACCCTGCGGAGGAAACCCATTTCAGCCGCTTTTATCTGCGATCTTGTTCTTTCGGTCACTACCCAAAGCTCGTGACCATAGATGAGGGTAGGAACGCCTGAAGGTTCGCCTTCTGGTTCAGCTCTCGCTTCTCCATCACAGATCGGTACAGTGTCTGCATCATGCAGACACAGCACCAATCTGCCTATCCATCTCTTGCTCCATTATTTCCTCAGTCATGAACAAGACCCAGAGATCAGGGTCTTGAACTAGAACAGCCACTTTAAAATGGGTGAATATTTATGTAGGCGTGTATTTAACGTTCATACACTGTTTCTAACCAGAAATCTGGGGAATACTCACAGCTGTTTCTGTTTCAGGACCTTTAAAAATGTTATGGATGAGTCTGTATCCGACAGCCATCAAGAGGTGCAGAAGATCAGTGAATCCACATTTGAGTGAGAATTACAGCTCTGGTTTTTCTGTATATATATATATA